CATCTCTGGAGGGGGGAGGTGGGGGAAGTTCTCAGCTCATCGTTCACTCCTTCCCACAGTGTGTTCACAGCTCTCTGGCTGTCTCCCGCGACCTGGTTTCCCTGCCAGGCCCTTCTGCTCTGCCTCCACCCTCACCACCTCGCTCTTCCAGGTCCCAGGACCCCTCTGGCAGAGAGGGAGCCTCCCTCTCCCGGGCCCATCGTGTTCGCCATCTCCTGCCTCCAAGCTGTGGCTGCCACATCATTCCTTACCTTCTTTGGGACAGAATTAAATTCAATGTACATAAATTGAGCACCAAATGTGTTTGTGGGGGTCTGTGTGGTGGTCACTGGGGCAGGGAAGAAAAACATCGAAATAGAACATTCCTGGTCCTTTTTTCCGAGGATCTCACAAGGGAGAGGTCTGACACTTGGTAACCTCCAGGTAAAGGTGGACCAGAGGCCTCTAACAGTGCTGGGAGTCCCCTCTCCCTCCCCCACCATAGGCCTAGGGCCAGGGTCTCACGCTAGACCCTGAGCCACCTCATGCCACTTCTAGAATCTACTCACAAGCTCCCCTGCTATTATTTGGACTATTTCTCATGCAGAATGTTCCCGTGAGAGGCTCCCAGGTTGGCAGGGGCAGTGTGGGCCCTGCCCGGGAAATGCCCACTCTGATGGGGCAGCAGGACACAGACTGAAGAAAACCACTCCCCAGTTGGGCACAGCTAGGGTCACCACAGCTGCGAGGGGCCCCAGGGAGAGGGTTCCCAGAGGAGGGAAAGGTGGGTGAAGTAGACTCCGAAGAAGAACAGGGGCAGGGCTGGGTGTCTGGGACCGTGGGAAGTGGGAGGCCGGGATGGGGGATCTGCCCAGTCCGAGGAGGGAGGAGCAACAGCAGGTGACTTTCCGCTGCCAGGCGCCAGCTGTGGGGCTGGAAAAGGCCTGACCTCTTGCCCCCAGCACCGTGGGAGTGTTGGAGGCAAGGAAAGAGAGCCTAAAAGCCCCCCCCAGGGAACCACCTCTCCCCCTTGTTATTTCTGGCTCCATTTTCTTGGTCAAGAAGGGTGTCAGTGGTAATGCAAATTAGGAGGTGTTGGAGGTGCTGGCCGACACCCATCCTGTCCCCCTCCCAGCCCCTCCCTCCCTCCCCCATGCCCACACTCACACAGCCGACTGGAACATCTGCGAGGTGCGCATGGTGCTCTCGCCCTTGGCTGAATTGGCATGGAGGGTGGGCGAAGCTGCGGGTTCTCGGGGGCTTCTGCCTCTGCCACAGGACAGGGAACTCACTGAGAGGGCTCCAGCGGATGCCCAGGTCCTCCCTTACCCCAGCCCTCTGCCGCCCTTGCCCTGCCAGGCCTCCCTGGGTCATTAACATCTGCATGTGCCCCAAACCAGAGCCTTCTCTCCCAGGCTGCCCATGGGAGGGGACGCAGACTGGAGCCTCCTCAACAACACCCTCATGGCCTCTGCAGGTGTTGTCAGATCTCAGAAGGCACATGGGCAACCAGGGGGCACAGCCTTGATGCCAAGAATTTCTCTGGAGTCAACATAGAGAAATTAGGGGAAGGGCAGGGATAGGGGCAGGGTGCTAGAGGATCGCACACGTTTTCCCCACACTGTCTGGCCTCTGCCCCTGGATGCCTGCTCCCACCCCTTCCCGGTCAGGACCCCCTTGCCCTTGATGTTTCATCCTGGCGTCTGACCTCAATTCTTCCTGCAGTAGCCAAAGGTGCTCTGTTCTTATCCTTGCTGAGGGAGAAATGGGACTAGGGGAGCTCTTCTGCTCTCCCCTACCCTATAAAGATGTCACTAAGCGAACCCCCACCCCCTCTGTTCTTCTTCATTAGTCCTAATCAGCGGGGTGAGGTGTTTTTCATTAACACGGCTGACTCACCTACACATCCCTCCCTTTTGTTAGCGATCAGCTTTTCCCCTGACACACATACACACACACAAACACACATACACACACCACCAGCTTCTGAAAGGAGCTGTTGCTCTCCTCAGCTGATCATCTGACACAGCCTGCACAGGGACCCAGGAGAGGGGCAGGGGTCTCCAGGGCCTGGTAGCTCTGGCTGAGGAAATATTGGTGGGGAGAGGGCAGGGCTGCAGGGTCCCCAAAGATGAGGCAGGGAGGCCCGAGGGGCAGCTGCTGGTTGAAAGAGAGACTGAGAGCAGAAGAGCCAAAGCTGGAGAGAATGATGGGTGTTGGCCTTTCATCGGGCACTTGGAGATGAACCCACAGACAGCTTGGTCTCTGTGAAGTCTGCCCTTCCCCTGGCTCTGGGTCTGCACTGGTAAAAGTGAGCTGGTACCCAGCTGTGTCTTCTCCAGCCTCAACAGGGGTCTTCCCTCCACTTGGCTCCTGTGAAAGTCGTCCCACTCTCCTCACCTTCCCAGGAGCGTAGAGATGGAGACTCTTCTAACCCCACACTCTCTTGGCCCCTAGTGCCCCCCACAGGACTCCCACAGAGTAAAGAGTAGCCAGGGTCCTTATTTCTGAGCCGGGTCCTGCTTGGGAGGAGAAGGACAAGCGTTAGCAGGGCTCCCCAGCCCCTCCCCCAGCCCCACCCCCAGCCCTGATGTCCTCTCCTTTGGGGGAGGCATTACATGAAAGGCTATGGTTCTGGGGCACCTGGGCTGGGGGCACTCTAGCTTTTTTTCCTTCCCCTGCCTTCCATCTCAGCCCCCAGCAACCTTCCACCCTGCACCTGAGCCCTTTCCCAGCTCCCCAGAAATCAAGGAGACAAGCTGCCAGAATCTACGCCCTATGTCCCCAGTCTCCCCTCACTCCAGCAACAGGGGAATGTGCAGGCTGTGGGATACTTGGATTCTCTCCCACTTTCAGACATGCTCAAGGATCAGAAGTGGTTACCCGGGTCATGCCCCTGCCTCTAGCTCACTCCCAGGTCATCCTTTGCCCTTTTTCTCCATGGCTAGGATTTCTCTCTGCCTTGTGCCCCTGTACCACCCCTAATATACTTACGCCCTTCTAGCAAAAACTTATGCCTCTCTAGCTTCCAGAGATCCAAACAGGACCCAGAACCAGAAACCTAGGTGCTGCCTTCCTCCATGGGAGTTGACTGAGGTGGCGGAGCACCAGGGAGCACTAAGCATCCATGTGCCAGAGGTTCCAGAACCTTCTTTCCCACGGCTTGTGAAGCCAGGTCCCATAGGGATGGCTGTTCTTCCCTTTCCTGGCACTCAGGACATGGCTGCAGGTGGAATTAAGGTTGGATGAACTTTTAGAGGCCAGCTGTAGTTAACTGCAACAGAGGAGCAAGGGAGGCTGGGAGATCTCCCTATGGGGGTCTGGACCTTGGCACTAAATGGAGAGGGATGTTTGCCCTGGGTCTGGAGCTGAACCTCAGGCCTTCAATGAGCAGTTGCCCCCATCTTTTCTTTCTTTTTTTTTTTCCCTGGTGAGGAAGATCAGCCCTGAGCTAACATCCATCGCCAATCTTCCTCTTTTTGCTGAGGAAGATTAGCCCTGAGCTGACACCTGTGCCCATCTTCCTCTATTTTATATATGTGGGACGCCTGCCACAGCATGGCTTGACGAGCGATACGTAGGTCCGCGCCCGGGATCTGAACCTGCAAACCCTGACCTGCTGAAGCGGAGCACGCGAACTTAACCACTAGGCCACCGGGCCAGCCACCCGCCTTTGTTTTTAACTGAACCGTTGGCCTGAGAGGGTCACACAAAAATAAAAGGCACCCAGAGTTGATGAATAAGTAGCTCAGGCCCTTCCTGCAGACAAAAGGGCACAGCGCTGGCTAGGGCAGAAGTCACAGGTTCATGACCTGGCTCTGACCTCTCAGGCTCTGGGTCTTTCAGGCAGCCACTGAGCCTGGAGCCCAGCTCCTCCCCTGCTCCCAGACCCATGAGGACATGGACATGGATGTTCTCCCTCTCTGAGGCCCAGCCTGCTTCCTGGCATGCAGAACTCATTTGATGAAGAAATAGCTGCTACTGATACATGAGCCCCCAGGGCTACAGAACCTCTACCTGCCAGACCTACCTGGAGAGAAAACGCAAGAGTCCTTGACACCTGCTCAGGGCTGGGGTGGCGGCTTTGTCACAAAGACACCCTCTACTGTTCCCTATCTGTTCTAAATAAACTCCATGTCACAAGTCATCTGTGGCCACTTGCATGCCCAAGTCTCCAGAACCTTCTTGGAAGGTGGGTGCCCCACGCATCTCCTATGTGTCCAGTGCCCACCCTTCCATGGCTCCTTGAGACACAGTTTCCAAGACTTCCCACCACCAAGGGTTCTCTCGCCATCCAGGCATGGAAGGCACAGACAGAACACAGATGGAACAGGTAAGTTTTATTTGGACTTTCAACTTGTTCAGAGAGCTCAGAGGCCCCCATTGCCCCTCTCCAGTCCCCCTTCCCCACTTCCCCTCCCAGGGGGAACACACAAGGTACAATGCCATGTGTCTCTGGAGTCCTTGGCCCCTTCCCCGCCTGACACACCCCTTTACTCCCCTGCACTGAGGAGGAGGGGAGGGGTGTGAGGAGGTGGGGGCCTGGAAGAGTTGGATCAGAATGGTACATGCACTGACAGTAGCGTCCACTGCTCCCTGCCCGGGACTGAGACCTGGGAGAGGCTCGCAGTGGAGGGAGTTGGAGTCAGCGTGGGGCAGCAGGCTCTTGCCATAGGAAGCTCCCCACCTCAGCCCTGGGGACCCCCTGGCCTCCTGCTTACCCGTCCTTCTGAGGGTACGACTCTGAGGTAGATTGCACAGAGGGAATGTGGGTCGCTGGGGCGTGGGAAGGGGATTAGCTCTTTTGAAGTTGATCTCCACAGCACCCCGGGCCCATCCTCAGGTTCTGGCCTGGGAGGCAGGGATGATGACACCCACCCAGCTAACAGAGGCTGAGTCACACCTGGGCTCCAGGGCACCTGTGGTGTCAGGGGCTCAAGGGAGGTAAGGGTGGAGGGGAGCATCTGCCTTAATAATCTGTGCCTCGGTGCCGGGGCTCGGGCAGGGAGGTGGGGGGGGCTCAGGCAGGGCATGGGACTGGGAGGCTGGCACAGATAGTCCCCTGGCCTGAAGGTCATGGTGCAGGGCCCCCCGCCCTCAGGGCAGCCTCTTTAGGCTAGATCTTCCCAGTCCTCCAAGGTCCTCCCTCTCCTCTCCCACCCCCCACTACTCCCTAGGGTGGGCAGAGGAGGAGAACAGGGCTAGCCTGCAGGGAATGGCAAGAAACAAGATGCCTCCCTCCCCCAGTGGAGGCCCAAGCCATGAGCCCTGAGCTGGCCACGGGATGGAGGAACTGGCATCAGTGTGCAGGGCAGGCTCTGGGACCCCACAGAGAGGTGTTCCCCAGATAGAGCACAGCCTGAAAAAGATGGACATCGGGAGAGGGGCTGGGGCAGCTCCTGGAGTCCTCTGATATCCTCCGCCTCCCCAGGCCCAATCACCCTCTTGGATCCAACCCTATCTGAGAACAGAAAAGCAGAGAAGAGCCTGGGGTGGGGTATGCCCCTCCCCACCCCAGCCCAGATCCCTACCTCCCAGCGGAAGCCAGGATGCTGGGGAGTGCCTTGGCTGATCTCCTGGCAAGAGCCAGGGCTGAGTGGTGCCTGGACCAGGGAAGACGGCACACACATTGACTCAGTAGCTAGTGGAGGTATCTGGGGGTCGCAAGGGGCAGGGGCCCCCACGAGATTCATGCAGCATTCAAAGTGAGTGAGTGTTTGGGGGTGATGGGAGACAGTAAAGAAACAGCCAGTGGGTGGGAGAGGCACCCTAGATCTTGCTGTTCTCCAGGTGGGAGTCAATGTGTTTGATGAGGGCATCATCCGGGTACCCGACAGGGAAACCCAGCTGGCAGAGGGGGCAGCTGCGGATGTCAGAGCCCACTGTCTCCATCAGCAGCTGTGAAGAGAGGGGGGAGTCACTTACGGTCCCCGATCCCACCCATGGTCCCCACATCCCAGCTTGTCCTTTCCTGGGACCCAGGGCAGGAACAGCTGCAGCACGAAGAAGGGGTCTGGGCACCCTTTCTCCAGCACCACGCACTTCCTCCTCCTTCCCTGCCCACCTTCCACCAGTTCAGCGTCCACTCCCCTGACCCCAGGCGTAGGGTCCCCAGGAGGTGTGTATGAGGAGGTGTGTGCGCTCAGCCTACCAGGGCATCTGCAGTAATGAGCCAAGACTCGGACACGCCCCCAGAGCGACTAAGACACAGCTCCCAGATAACTCAAAGAAATGGATAACCTCAAACAATGTACATCCCCCAAATAATTTTGTCTGGCTTTAGAATATATTTTGGTCCTTCTGGGTGGCAAGGGTTGGCTCTGACATTCAGGAAACTCATTATTTCAGTGCAATGATAGAGCCTTGAGACAGGGTGTCTTCTAGGACAGACAGAAAAGAGCAGGGGCTCTGAGGCCTGATGGCAAGAACTGGATGAGCAGGCCTATCCCTGTGCTGGTCGAAACGCAGGACAGCACGGCCTGCATCACCAGCAATAGTGGATGCTCACTACTGAGCCAAGCACCGTGCAGGGCGTTGGGCTCACTGCCTCCCTCTTAAGAACCCTCTAATGGAAATAAAACTAATCATCGTCCTCATTTTGCAGATGAGAAAACTGAAGATCAGAGAGGATAAGTGACTTGTTCGAGGTCCCACAGCTACTAAGCGGGGAGTGCAGAATCAAAGCCAGGACTCACTCTGAAGACCATGCCCTTACCCGCGGGGGTGAACAAGGTGTAAGGGTGTAGGGCCCAGTTCACACCAACAAAAGGCCTCGGGAGAGAGGTGAAGGACTCCCTCTACGTCCCAGGGAAGCAGGGGTGGTCAGGAGGGGAGCCCGCGGGTGGGCGTGGAGCGGAGTGCGGGCGGGCGGGGCGCACACTCACGTTGATGGACGGCCAGGACTGCGCGTGCTCGGCATGGGCGTAGGCGGCGGGCGACTCCGGGACGGGGAAACCCGCGCAGAAAGAGGCGCAGCGGGTGGTGCCAGCCCCGGGGCTGGGCGGGCTGGCGGGCACGGCCCACTCCTCCTCCTCCGACGGCTGCTTCTCGAAGCGCAGCCGGATGCCCTCGAAGGCGCGCCGCGGGCTGAGGGGCCTGCCGGGGCCGTAGAGCTCGGCGCCGTAGGCCCGCGGCTTGGGCAGCGTGGCGGCCTCGGCCTGCAGCCAGGGCGGGGAGGCACCCGCGTAGCCCGCGCCCTCGGCCATCTCCGAGTAGCTGCGCCGGCCCTGGAAGCCGGCCTTCACGTGGTGGCTGGGGGGCTTGGCGTAGGCGCGCTCGGCCAGCGTCC